TGGGGACCTGGCTGTATCTGTCCTGGCCATGCTGCACGCCCAGTCACAGCACATGGCCAGCTGGACACACAGAAAGTGCCCCACATAGATATATTAATATTTGAACTTGCATCAAGAAGCCTAAGGGCCGGGTGTGGGGGCTCACACCTGTAATCCTTAGCACTTTGGGAGCAGAGGCGGGAGGATCACTTGAGGCCAGGAGTTTGAGACCAGCGTGAGCAACATAGTGACACCATACCCTCTACAAAATAAAAATAGAAAATTAGCCAGGCATGGTGGCATGTGGCTCTTGTCCCACCTGTTAGGTTTGTTCCAAGTGGAACCCGAAAAGTATGGCTAGGACAGAATGTGGTTAATGGAAAACTTAGGCTTGTAAAACAATAGCTGCAGGAGCTGGAGAGCCCCGGAGGTTGTAAATCTAACAAGACAGCTGGCAGATGTGGCATTACGAATCAGGCCCCCTAATAAGCATGAAACTACTCCCTCCCTTATCTCTGCAGGATGTGACACAGGGGTCCCCAGAATTGGTTGTTTAAAAAATTTTCATTACACTGGCTGTTCTGCCCAGGTACTCCCCCTGCCCTCCCCCACCCCCCCCCAGGAATCCTCTATAAACCCATCGTTTTCCCATCCCTCAGGGTGGTTGCTTTTTTGGTTTCCACCCATGTGCACCCAGATGCTCAAAAAACAAAACAAAACAAAAAAAACCCTGGCATTTTGCTACACCTGAGGCCTTTTGGTCTCTGTCTTCTCTCCTCTTCTCTCCCCTCTCTGGACCTAACACCACCTGCTTGGGAGGCTGAGGCAGGAGGATCACTTGAGCCCAGGAGTTTGAGCCTGCAGTGAGCTATCATGACGCCACTGCACTCTAGCCTGGGCAACAGAGTGAGACCGTGTCATACACGCACACACACACACACACACACACACACACACACACAAAAGCCTCGAGAATGAATATCAAAGAGGATATGGAGGGATTAGTTCATCATAAATGAAGGATGATGGTGTATGATCTTCGTTAAATGTGAAGGCCTGGCACGGTGGCTCACGCCTGTAATTCTAGCACTCTGGGAGGCTGAGGTGGGTGGATCGCTCGAGGTCAGGAATTCAAAACCAGCCTGAGCAAGACCCCGTCTCTACTAAAAATAGAAAGAAGTTAATTGACCAAATAAAAATATATATACAAAAATTACCAGTAGTGCGCATGCATGCCTGTAGTCCCAGCTACTCGGGAGGCTGAGGCAGGAGGATCACTTGAGCCCAGGAGTTTGAGGTTGCCGTGAAATAGGCTTACGCCACTCTAGCCTGGGCACAAAGTGAGACTGTCTCAAAAAAAAAAAAAAGAAATGCATGAAAAGAAATGGAGATGGCTTCCTTTCAAATTTAGAAGTCTCAGCTAAGCTCTAAAACGGGTACTCAAATGTGAAAGGCAGTAAATTAACGGGCAAAAGTACTATCCAGGAGATCCGACAACACTGTGCAGGCATTGAAGTCCCTCTGTTTTCAGCTTGACAGGAATCACATGTGTCATGCACATTTCTGTGAATCTCAAACTGACGCAGAGCTGGGGAACAGGGTTACACAGCCTCGAGGACTCCAGGAACCAGTGACTCACGGTCCCGAGGAGTGTCAGTGACGCATCGCAGGAGGTTTCCCAAGAAGTGACAGAGGAAATCTCTTTTGTCCTCCACAACCTGGGAAGACCTCTGAAGATGGGGCTCTTTCTGTCTTTCCCTTTGACTAGGTGGTAGATTCGGATCAGCTTTGCAGCCCGTGTGGGCTGGGGATCACTTTCTGAAAACAAGTTGCCCACTTCCTACAGGTAGAGACACAAGCTGCGGGGCGGGGGCGGGGATGAGTAAGGATGAAAGGGAAGCGGGGTGTGGGAGCCCCCTCCCTGCTTTGAACATGGCTGGTGGGCGCCACACCTGCAGAGGAAGCGCGGGGGACACCAGCGCTGCTCCCAGACCCCTCTACCAGGGTCACTTAAGGCTCATGCAAGACAGAGAGGGAGAGGTGACAGATGCTCCCCTTTCAGAGGAGCAACCCAGGCTCACAGCGTTTACGTAGCCGGCCCAAGGTAGTACAGCTGGTGCAGAGTTGGCCATGCTGTCCAGCCACTGCAGACATGCCCCACAATGATTTCCATGCTATGGATTCTTAAAATCATCATTTATGAACAAATCTCTCATGTATGGATATTTTTGTTGATTTCAATCTTTTACCATAATAATGACCAGAGCCCTTTTGAAAAGAAGTTCCTTTTTTTTGTTTTCACAAACTTTTGTTTTTTTCCCCGTATGAAAGTAATACATGATTATTGTAAAAGTTCACACAACACAGAACTGTGCAAAGCAGAAATGGAAATTCCCCAAAGTAACTGCCATAAAGTAACTGCCATTACCAGCTTGGAATATATCCTTACAGACCTTTTTCTACACATGTACAAACAAATATACCCAGAGGCCTTGATATATTATTAGAGAAAAAAGATTAAATTTGCAGAATTCTATTAAGAGATTCGATTTTTATGTTCTCTATTTTATGTATTATATTCTAAAGATTTCAATTTTATGTTTTAAAAAATTTATGTGCAGGAAAAGAACAAAATGTTCAAATACCAGTTTTACACATTTCTGCAATGTTCTGTACTTAGATTTTTAAAATATCTCTTTATTGAAGAATAATCTGTATCTATATCCATAGCTATATATTAAAGTTGACACCTCATGAGTGTGCAGCTTGATGACTTTTTACAAATGAAACATACCCATATGACCAACTCCCAGGCTGAGAAGCAAAACATGCCCACCCTCAAACCTCATGCTCCCTTTTAATGATCACTCCTGTGCCAAGGGTAACCATATCTTGGCTTCTAACAACATATATTTATTTTGCCTGTTTTCATCTGTGCTTGAATTTTAACAGTGACCATGTATTGCACCATGTAGCATATTAAAATGGGAATAATCACAAATAAAAAAAAATAAAAAAAAATAATAAAATGGGAATAATCAACACAGATTTTTTAGAATATATGCACACGTAGTGGCTTTCATTCGATGTCAGCATATATGAACCTAGCTCGTTACTTAACAGCTTCATGAACCTCCTTATAAGGCTGTATCAGAATTTATCTGGCTGGTCCCTTTCGATGGGCATTTGAATAATTTCCAAGTTTTGGCTAAGAAGCAACACTACAAGGAAAAATTTGATGTGTGTTTGTTTGTACATGTCACTTTTTGACGTGTTTCATTAAGATAAATGCCTGCAAGTGAAATTACTAGTCAAAAGATAGCTAGATTAAATTTCCGGGGCATATTTTGCCATAATTGCCCTACAGAATGTAGTGACAGCTCAGTTCCTTCTTCAAAAACCAAAGTCAGGTGCTGGGTACAGACCTCCTCACCGCAGCCCCTGCCGCTGGCAGCCCAGCCTGCTCCGGCTCCCTGGGCGGCCAGAGCTGCGTCTGTGTCTATGTGTCGTGGCAGCTGCCTGCTGCACAGACAACAGACGGAGGAGCACAAACCACCCCTGCCCCCACCCTAGCCCCATGCAGACTTGCAAACAAGTAAATGCAATCACAAGACAGCCGCAGAGGAACCCATCAAATATCAGAGCCTGCAGTGGGATCAGGGGCCTTGAACCAGTTTTTACTTCCGCTGCGGACTGGGTTTGAGCCTGCAGGGAGGGCAGGCCGCACAAGGTTGGGCCTTAGTCTCTCATCATTGACATCACATGGTTTAGATGAGGAGCCCACCTTAAAAGTGAATGCTGGGGGAGGCAGGTCCGGCCGATTCAGGCCCTTTTCACCCCTGCCCTCAGCCCTGGAAGGCAGCCACCCCTGTCCTCAGAGCTGATGGGCAGAAAGCCTTTCCAACTCCCAGGGCCACACCTTGTGCTGCTGTGGCTGCATCACAGATGCCAGGACATGGCTACATGGCCCCCTCCCCTTGAGTCGTTTTTCCTTTCCTGTTTTCTGTAACATATTTCATATTCTGTGGCTGTCAGAGGCCTCTGAACATAACTTGGTTCACCAATTCTCTTCTTCGAGCTGGCCAGGAAAAGCAGATAGGGCTGGATTCTCCTTTGACCTGGACATGGAGCTTCTTCTGTTAATGCAGCCCAGGTTGCAGTCTTTTTTCAGCTCAATAGCTCCTAGGCTGCTGAAGCCTGGGTAGGGGGATGTTAAGATAAGACCTAGGAGCGGGGTGCGGTGGCTGCCTGTAATCTTAGCACTCTGGGAGGCCAAGGCGGGAGGATTTCTTGAGCTTAGGAGTTCAAGACCAGCCTGAGCAAGAGTAAGGAACCCACCTCTACTATAAATAGAAAGAAATTAGCCAAACAACTAAATATAGAAAAAATTAGCCAGGCATGGTGGTGCATGCCTGTAGTCACAGCTACCTGGAAGGCTGAGGCAGGAGGATTGCTTGAGCCCAGGAGTTTGAGGTTGCTATGAAGTAGGCTGACGCCACAGCACTCTAGCCTAGGCAACAGAGTGAGACTCTGTCTAAAAAAAAAAAAAAAAAAAAAAAAAGAGAGAGATAAAAGATAAGACCCAGGGACTTTTTCCAAAGACACAAGATCCTCCTTTCACTCCCTGCTCCAATGCAGCGCTTTTTCCTTGCAATTTCCTTCTCTGTCAAGGCTAAGAGGTAATTAAAAGTGAATGGACACATGGCAGAGACCCTGATGCCTCTCATCTTCTCTTTGGTGTAAGCCTGACTTGAGGTCAGGGGTCCCCAGAGTTCAACCCTCAGTCGAAACAAACAAGTGCTGGCCAGTGAAGGCAGCCTGGGAGTGGGCTAGGAGGAGATAGCACCTGTGGGCTAGGAGGAGTGGGCTAAGAGGAGATGGCCCCAAGGCACCTGCGGCCTGGCACGTAGTGGGGCAAAATGAGGACTTACAAATTTTATCCTTGTAATTTCTTTTCCACTGAGCATCACCATCTTTGCTGTAGATGGGTTTTTGTAATTTTATGTCACAGGAGTCATTTGCATCTTTAATCTAGGATTTTATTTTTATAAACAAGACATTTCATAAAAAGAATAGAAAGTAAGAGAACTAGGCAAGCCATGGGAGAGTAGAAGTAAAAGCTCAGAAACTTCCTAATGGGAAAAGAAGCAAAATCCTTAGAGACTATCATGGTTGCTGGGAGCTGGGCAGCCCCTCTCAGGAAGCCTCACGCCTAACCTGGGTCTGGCTTCTCTGTGAGGAAAGTCAGCCCCAGCCCGGCAAGACCAAGAGGGAGCCACCCCACGCCATCCCATGAAAGGCCCCAGGACCCAATGTCACTGCCTCACTAGGGCAAAGCAACTTGCAAAGACACTGAAGGCCCCAGCCCAGCCCAGGCAAGTACAGGAGCCGGAAGTGGTATCATGGGCAGCATTTCCTACTGTGTCCTCCAGCGCACTCTGCGAAGTGCCCTGGGGGCTCTGAAGCCTTCTCTGGAAGATTCCCGATGATCAATTAACAAGTTGCTCCCATGCGTGGGCCCACAGGAAGGACTTGCAGCAGTCAAAAGCAGGCAGCTTCAGCAGCCAGTGAAATCTCCACGGTCGAATGTGTCCCATCTCTCATTTATCCAGGTCTTGCTCGTTACTGACCAATGTCTTTTTGTAGCAGGACACCACAACTGTATTCTCTGCTCATTTGTAAAACCTGAAAACAACAGCAAGTTGTGAAACCACTTATCTTCTGGCAAATTATATTGGATTTCCTGTAATAGAAGCAAATGGAAATGAGGATGCAAAGGCTGGGCTCCAAGGAGGCTGGGGCGGTAGGTTTTTAGGGCCCATTTGAGTAATTAAAAAAAAAATTATTTTAAACTAAAAGAAAACCAAAAACACAAAAACAAACAAAAACTGCAGCTGAAAGAACCCTAGCTTTGAACAGTGTTACTTCCTGCAGTAAGAAAGATAAGATAAGCTATTCACAAATGCACATGGAGTGTCCAGAGGACATTGGCCTGCAGGTGAGATGATTTTCTAAGGAGAGTTAGAGGCTGGGGAACATCTACCTCAAACTGTAACTTGAATTTGGACAGCTGATCTGGGGGGCCTGGGGACTATTTCATCCACACCTGGACCGTGACAGCAAAACCAGAGGTGGTTTTCAAACATTTTTTTTGAAGCCGCAAACCCTTTTGTTCAAATGACATCTTACAGGTAAGTGTAAACCCAGACAACAGAGGAGAGTTGAGCTGCTGGGAATAAAGAGGGTGAGGGGGGCTCAGGGCCCCACCCCATGACCTCCCTAAGCCCCTTCTCTTCTTCAGCTGACCCTCAGAGCCCTTGAGTTTGCCAAAGCATGCGGTCCTGCATCCAGTTCCTCCCAAACTGGGGTCAGATCACTGGGGAACAAGTTAAATAAGGGGTGGGTGGGGAACAGACCACAGGCAGTACTCAGAGGGGGACTCATTCTCCATAAAAGGGTATCATGGGGAAGATTTTGAACAGAACTTTCTGGAAATCTAGCCATAGACTGATATATTCAAGTTATTATCTCTTGGGTAGGGGGCAGTCTCTAAACCTACCACACAAGGTGAAAATTGCACACAATCAAAATTATCATTGAAAACTGCCCATCAAATACAGCAGGCATGTTTAAGCAATTCTTTCTATAAATATACTGTATATAATAATGTAGAGCAGATAATACTGAGAATTTATGCAGAAATTATCATTTTAGAGTATTTAAAAATACTCTATGGTTGTTGGACTCGTAGAGTTGAATTTACTGAAGTTACTCGAACTTGTGCTTCAACGCCATGAGACTGGGGTCCAAACACTTTAAAGATATTACCCTAGTAAGTTCTCAAGTGTGAGGCCATGAGGTTGGTACTGTTATCTCATTTTACAGATGAGAAGTGGGAGTCTTGGAGAGACAAAGGGACTCACCTATGCTCACACAGTGGACGGGCAGCAGACAGGTTTCAAATCAGGTCTGCCTCACCCTGGAGCCAGAGCCCCCAGAGCCAGAGCGCAAGGCTGTGTTGCCCTCTTCTATTTAGAGGTATGTACTCCCCCACCCCACCCCACAAACACTTTTGCATGGAGGCGGTTGTTCTGAAGATCAAATGTGATTAATGAGATAGGCAGATGTGAAACAGTCTCCATTTTGAGGAAAAAAAAAAATCAAATCCAAGTCCTGGAGGCTGAGGAGTAGCCGGCAGCCCCTGGTCCCTAACCTTTGTTTACACATTTAAAAAAAGAAAAAAAAAGCCCCTGTGCTGTGTGACTCAGCCTGTGACTTTGCCAACTCCTGGGACCCAGGTGGGGTTGACGGTAGCAGGTGGGATGAAGACAGATCCTGGGGAAGGAAGCAACTGCCGGTGGAGAAGGCTGGTCTTGGAGTGAATCGGCTTGTCTTCAAATCCAATTCCAAGAGTCTTTCCACTGATGTGTACAGTGGGGGTGATGACCCCCGCATCTCACACAGGACCAAGTTGAATGAAATAATGGGTGGGATGGGTTTGGGATATCCTATAGTCCTCAGGAGAGCTAAAAGTGTACTTCAAATACATTTAAGTGATTATTCAGTATTTTTGTTTGTTGAGGTTATCTCTTAGGTTTCTGAACTCTATCACTCCATCTATTTATACAGTCCATGATCTTTTTTTTCTTTTTTTTTAATATAGAGTCTCTCTATGTTGCCCAGGCTAGACTTGAACTCCTGGGCTCAAGGGATCCTCCTGCCTCTGCCTCCTAAATAGCTGTGACTACCGGCATGTGCTTCGCACCCAGCCCAGTGGATGATCTTTGGAAGGGGAAGTCTGACTTTGACTTCTGGCTGTAGTTGGAGGCTGTGAGCTACAGCTGGGGCTGAGGAACCCAGTGCCACACCCAGGGCGGTGTCACGACCACGGCCCCATGCACTTACTGTTTTATGAAGCGAAGCCGGGCTCTCCTCTGCCGGCCTGCAAGAGGAAAGCAAGAGTGCCAGTCAGCGTGGGCCACGGGTGCCAAGCCCCGGAGACTGAGGGGGAAGATCACAGGGGCAGCTAACACCTCCGTCCACTTCCTGCTGCCAGCCTCTGCCCCACACACCTCACTCACACATTGTAAACCCCCTTCATGCTCACTGCAAACCTGTGGCTTGGATACTACTCTTATGGTCTCCATTTTATAAATGGGGAAACCGAGGCACAGAGTGAGTGAGTTACTAACTCGCCCAAAGACATGCAGCTAGTAAGTGGTAAAATCAGAATTCAAATCCAGTTAATCCACTCCAGGCCTTAAACATGCCCTCTTTCTCTTTAGGGTAGGTCAGAAATTGGAGGTCACACAGAAGGGGTCTCAGGCTAGGGTGTGGTATTCAGGGGGCGAGTGAGAGTCCCCACCCAGAGGTGGGAAGGAAATAAAAGCATGTCTATTTACATTTTTATCTCAACCTTTATTACCTCTTATTTTTGAAGCACATTTAATAACATACGTCATATATTAAATAAATACAGCTAACTGCACTTAGCCTTTACGATTTTTAAATTTGTTACTGATGAGGACCTTGATCAAAACAGTTTACAGACCACTGAACTTTAATGGGTTCTTAGAATGGGGCACACAGATCCCTTTTGTGTGTGTGGCAAATGTGTGCAAAAGTGTGCGCCCGGGTGCATTTCTCTGGGGAGAGGGTCCATAATTGTCACCATATGTTCAAAAGGGTCTGTGACCTACAAAAGTTAAGAGCCACTGATCCAGGTCATGCCCCTGCTGCAACCCCCCCCCCTACTTTATAAAGCACAGAGAGGGGCAAGGAGGTGTTCGAGGTGGCACAGGTGAGCAGAAGAGCCAGGAGCAGGGGCTCAGGCGCCCCCTCCAGCTCCCCAGCTTTATCTTGAGCCCTGCGCCATGCGGAGCCCGGGGCGCCCACGGGAGGAGGGGAGCCCGTCTTTGGGGTGGCTGATCTTTGGGGTGGCTGAGCGCAGCAGCCGTCTCTGAGTTTTCCTACAGCCTCATTGAGGAAGAGGATTTCTATCTCCTGTGAACACAAATCCAACCCCACCAGCAACCTCTTCTGGGCACTGGGCTTTCATCTCACCTGCTCATGTGAGTTTTCACTTACTGACGCGTGCCATGTGCCGGGCACTTTGGGCAGGACTTTACAAACAGCGACTCTGGGAGGTAGCTGTTGTTTTGCCCCCTGGTGAGGTGGCTGAGGCTTAGAGAGACCAGGGCACGTGGCCAAGGATACTAGGTCAGGGAGCACCCATTCAGCGTTGTGTTCAACCCCAGGTTTGTCTGACACCAGAGACGGGGTGGTCCCTGACTTTGGCAGCCAGGAATCACCTCCCGAAACGCCATGGGTTCCCGGGGGCTGAGTCCCACCAGGCTGCCACCTGCTCTGCTCCCCTAGAGAAGAAAGTACCCCAGGAACACTTTAAACAGCAAACGGGGAAGCCCCCACCCCACGGCAGCCCTGTGGGTTCCAAGAGGGACGACCAAGAGAGAATAACTCACAGTGCAGGTGGATGGCCACGCCCAGGGACACCAGCAGAACCAGGACACCCGCCACCAGCAGGCTGAGGGTGAGGGGGCCACAAGGTGGGCCTGGAAAAGACAGGTGACAGGTGTTCAACCCGGAATGTATGAGATCAGTTTACATATAAAATTTCATGTTTCATCCAAATTTTTAAAAATTAATGAAACCCAGGAGGTATTTATATAGACAATTTTCATGCCTGGTAATGGGATTTTTACTATTAATTTTAAAAACTTTTATTTTAACATCACAAGAAATATCTGAATATATTTTTATTGTGAGAGATTTAAACATATGGTTAGAATGTTCCTTAACATCCTTGTTCCTTCACAGAAGAAGCTACCCTTGAGAACTTGATATCTTTCTCTTCATTTTCACATACATAATTTTCAGAGATTAATATAGTTTAAAAAAAAATACAGTGGATTATACCATACAAATTGTTTTACAATTGCTTTTTTTCCTTCACCCAATCAAGTCAGTATGTCATGTTTCTAAAAGAGTGACATTTGACAGCATGGATGTACCGTGGACTATTCAGCCATCAGTGGGCATTTTGACTGCTTCCTGTGTTCTACTTTTATAAATAACTCTGCAGAGAACATTTGGTTCTCTGGTATGTTTGGTCAGGCAGGTGCCTTCGTGAGGCAGATACCGAGAATGGGAACTACTGTAATGCTGTCAAATGCCTTCAAAAAGGTGGCACTAATTTCCATGCCCAGCTGTCAACAGTGTGCTGCCAGCCCGTGATATGGTCAAAGTTTTTTAGCTGTTGCCAGTCGAGTGGGGGAAAATGATATTTCACTTCAATTTCCTGATTACTTGTGAGCTTTGGCCTATTTTCATATATTGGCCACTTGTATGGCTTTTCTTCTCTAAGTTGGCTATTTGTCCCTCTGCCCATTTGCTATTTAAAGAGTCTATGTTGTCAGTGCCCCGAACCCTTCTGTGACTCCTTTGGGCCCTTGTGGATAGCTGAGGAGCAGAGCCAGGGCCCATGGGTGAGAAGGCAAGGCTGCAGCTTTGGGCTTGACGTTAACAAAATCAGAGAGAGTTGTGGATGTCAGGGAAGGGGGATGATGTTTACTAAATGCATATTATGTGCCAAGTACAGCACTAACTGCACACTTTCACCTTGTGAGGAAGGAAGGTATTATCATTATTTTTATCTCTCATTTTACTGTTCAGAAAAAACAAGATTCGAAGAGGTTAAATTACATGCCCAAGGTCACCCAGCTACTAAAAGGCAGGACCAGGGTGTGGACACTGGTCCTCCAAGTTCTAAGGCTCTGCCAGCCCCACCTCGGTGGCACGAGTGGTATTGGAGGGCATGGAGGGGGCCGCTCCATGGGAGAGAGCCCACCGTTGCTGGAGGGGAGCAAGCCAAGGCTGGATGGCTGTGCCGTGGAGAGGAGACTCCTGCATGGGGAGGGGGGTTGGACAAGGGGCCACCTCTGAGACGCTATGGGCTTCCACTGGCCTCCTTCTCGCCTCCTTCATATTCTCCCAACCGGGAGGAACCTCAGAAACATGGCGCTGAGTGAAAGAAGCCAAGCATGAAAGCCCACGTAGCGTGTGACCCCTTTTATAAGAAATGTCCAGAAGAGGCACTTCTGGAGAGACAGGAAGGGGATCGGCGGCTACCAGGGGCTGGGACAAGCTGTAAACAAGCACAGGGGATCTTACTGGGGTGATGAGACTGTTCTAAAACTAGATTGTGGTGATGGTTGTATAACTTGGTAAATTTACTAAAAATCATTGAGTTTGTACTTTTAAAATGGGTGAATTTTGTGGTATGCAAATCATACCCCAGTATACCCCAAATCATACCCCAATTACTTTTTTTAAGAAAAGTAATTGGAAGTGGGTGCAGAAGAGACACGTGGGCAGCAGGGCCCCCTCCTTCTGAGGCGGGGTGGGGGGCAGGGAGGCTCCCTGAGGAGAGGTCATGGTTATGGCCACTGTGTGCAGGTCAGCGATGCAGCTACAGGTCACCCACCCGAAATGGGACTCCAGGAAAAGCTGCTGCTTCCAGTAATGGACACAAAAGCTTGCTTGGGTGAGGGGCTGGTGGCCAGAGCCACACCGTGACACCCCAGCCCAGCCTGCCTCATTTTGCTTCAGGGGTCTCCTGAGGTCTGGATCGTATCACACTGCTCCTGAGTCAGTGGTTTAGAAATCGTCCCCCAACACCCACTAGTGGGGTCTCAAGGGACAGTCCTAAGCCTCAGGGGGAAGCCCCCTCCCCATAGCAGCCCTGCGGGTTTCAATCATGATATCAGGCTTTGAGGTCTGTGTGGATGCCCCACCAAGCTCTGAGTGCCTGTGTATAGTATCTCATTTAATCCAATCTTGCATTACTTTTACCCAGGTAAACTTCCTCATTTTACAGATGAAGAAACTGAGGTTCAGAGAGGCTGGAACACTTGCTCAATGTCTCACAGTATAGGTGGTGGTAGGCAGGGACTCAGACCCAGGCCTGGATGACTTACCAATGGGCTACCCTGTCCCACAACCCCCTCACCCAGTGCAACCTCCGCCTACTTCTACACCTACCGCTCTCTACTCAGTCACCTTCACACAGATCTTGGTTATTCTCAACCTGCTAATGTTTGGTTTACATTTTGCCCTGGGATTTTACTGAGGGTTGATATAAGACATGATGCAAGAAATTTGTAGGTCTTTTTTCCCATCATTTATAAAAATACTACTGAATTCACTATCATGCAGCAGTCATTGTATGAGGATGAACAGAGCAGACTTCTCTTAGAATTCAGTGCCACGATCAAGGTTTCTTCCTTTGATGCCCAGGTTGTTTCTTTATATCACTGGGGTTGGGGTGCCATGTAACTTGGAGTATTCCCTTTTTTTCCAATTGAGTTTGCTAGCTCCTCCAGAGCCACAACACACAACCAGTTTTTGAGTTTTTGCATCACTACTTTTTTTTTTTTTTCCTTGAGAGACAGGGTCTTGCTCTGTAGCCCAAGCTGGAGTGCAGTGGTGTGATCATAGCTCACTGCAGCCTGGAATTCCTGGGCTCCAGTGATCCTCCCACCTTGGCCTCTCAAGTAGCTAGGATCACAGATGTGCACCAATGCACCCAGCTGATTATTTCATTTTTTGTAGAGATGGGCAGGGATGGGTGGGTCTCACTATGTTGCCTAGGCTGGTCCTGAACTCCTGGCCTCAAGAGATCCTCCCACCTGGGCCTCCCAAAGTGCTGGGATTGCAAGCCTGGCCCTGCATCCTCATCTTAATGGCCCTATTGTCTTTGCATTTTGTATCTTTTTATAAAAATTGTAGTCTACCTGAAATCCTTTAGGTGAAGTCATCAGGGCATAATATTTCATAATATTTTATAATATGAACACAGTCACTCTGTTCTGCCCTTATGGTCTTAAGACTACCCGTCTGTATGTGGGTTCTGATTCTCATTGTTACTGTTTCCCACCCTCATCTCCTATATCCTATTAGATGCCCCTCCTCTGATGCTTTTTGGTACTTTATATGTTTAAGACAAAGCAACCCAGGCAGCCTGAGGCAGCCCTAGTGGGGCTGCTTGTGGTTTGTTCTATGGGAAGCAGCAGATGGCACTTTCTGTTTGTCATCAGTGACTTTCTGGGGGGTTGAGGTCAGTATTTTTCCAGAAACATATTGGGCTGATGGGTTCAAGGGAAGTGTGTATGCAGGCACGTGTGTGTATGTGTGCACACTCCAGCTGGGGTGTCTACTGTTTCTAGCACAGAGAGGCAAATTTGTTTATTTGCTAAAAAATATGTATCCATTTACAAACACATACCGTGCATTAGGTTCTCTATTAGGCATCAGAACCAGAAAAATTTAAAGTGCTGGTCCTTTGGGTTAGATTTTTTGTTTGTTAACAGCTTTATTGAGATATAATTTAGGCTGGGTGTGGTAGCCCACCTGTAATCCTAGCACTCTGGGAGGCTGAGGTGGGTGGACCGCTCGAGGTCAGGAGTTCGAGACCAGCCTGAGAAAGAGCGTATTTAGTATTTTTTCTACTAAAAATAGAAAGAAATTTTCTGGACAGCCAAAAATATGTATAGAAAAAATTAGCCGGGCATGGTGGCACATGCCTGTAGTCCCAGCTATTCAGAAGGCTGAGGTGGGAAGATTGCTTGAGACCAGGAGTTTGAGGTTGCTGTGAGCTAGGCTGATGCCACGGCACTCTAGCCTGGACAATACAGTGAGACTATGTCTCAAAAAAAAAAAAAAGATATAATTTATATATCATAAAGTTTACATACATAAAGTATATAGTTTAATGGTTTTTAATATAGTCATAGAGTTGTATAATCATTCCCATCATCTTATTTATTTTTTATTTTTTTAGAGATGGGGTCTCACTCTGTTGCCCAGGCTAGAGTGCAGTGGTGCAAACATAGCTCATTGTGGTCTTGAACTCCTGGGCTCAGGTAATCCTCCTGCCTCAGCCTTCTGAGTAGCTGGGATTACAGGTATGAACCACCATGTCTGGCTAATTTTTTTAAAAAAAATTTATAGAAATGGGGTCTCACTATGTAGCCTAGGCTAGTCTCAAACTCCTAAACTCAAGCAATCCTCCCACCTTGGCCTTCCAAAGTGCTGGGATTATAGGTGTGAGCCACCGCACCCAGCTTGTAATCTAATTTTAGAACATTTTCGTTTCCCCAAAAAAGAAACCCTGTACCCATTAAGAGTCACTTCCCTACTGATGGAAAATGGCTTAGAAAAAAAAAAAAAAAAAAAAAAGAGTCACTTCCCATTCCTTCCCTAACCTCCCAGCCTTAGGCAACCACCACTCTACTTTCTGTCTCTATAGAATGTCACACTCTGGACATTTCGTATACTTGGAATCATGCAGTATATATCTTTTGTGACTGACTTCTTTCACTTCATTCTTTATTATGGCCAAATGGTATTTCACTGTAATGGATCTACTACATTTTGCTCATCTGTTCATTAGTTGGTGGACATTTGGATTGTTTCCACTTTGGGCTATTGTGATTAATATTGCTATGAACACTTGTGTGCAAGTGTTTGTGTGGACATTAACTCCATTAAATGTTCCATTAAACTTTGTCCAGTGACAATTTATGAGTCTGTCCCCCACAAAACTGTGAGCTGCTGTCATACTCAGCATCTTTTCTGACTCAAACTCAGGGCTAGAAAAACAGGCTATAGAGTCAATACTTGACAAGTGCTTGGGGAAAGGAAGGGAGAGAAGGAGGAAGGGAGGGAGGGAGGGAGGGAGGGAGCAGGATATCTGCTTTGTTTTTGAGGGTGGGGATGGATGGAGAACTCACCCTGCCGGCTCACTGGGTTGGGGAGCAGACACACTTTCTTCTTGGGGGTGGACTTCTTGGTGGGCTGGGCAGTGGTGGGAAGTACATCAACTGCAGAAAGAAAGTAAAATGCTTATCTTAGCCAGCTGAACAGCAGGTGGACTTAGAGACAAATCTTAAAACTATGTGCCTAATATCCAGGTACTGACGTCCTGACCACTATTCCCTGGGCTGCTACAGAACTTGAAAGTCACGCAGCAACAGGATTTTTGATCTACTTTCCCAATTCTCAAATGTGTCTGGCGCCCAGGATTGGGGGTCAGCTTGGTGTCCCGGGGTGGTGGTGGCTCTGGAGCCACACACACCTGAGCAGAGCCCAGCACTCCTGATTAATGACTGTGTGACTTAGGGCAAATCATAGCATTTTTCTGTGCCTCAGTTTCCCCAACTTCTGAAACAGATGGTCCCCCTTCCCTCTCGGGGTTACTGTGAGAATTCCAGGGGACAGTGTGTCCCGTAAAATGTGCAATAGACATGGCTCCACCTGGCTGAAGACCTTAGGCTGAAGCCAGGATCCCTAAGCCGTTGGCACGACCAGCCCCTCAGCCCACGTTGTGAGTCCCTAAGTGAGAGGAGGAAGCTCCTAGAAAGGAGGTGGGTGCCCTTTTCTGCATGTACAATACCACAGAGGTTTCATATTTTGGGATGTGTTTACATTCTCACATCATATCAGAGCTAAAGGGACCTTCAGTCTCAAACTTTAATTTCAAAAGTGGACGCCAGAGACGAGAGGGGCTGGCCCCTGAGGCCACATAGCAGCAAGTGCTGGGCTGGGACGCCGAGCCCCCATCCTGACTCCTGGGTGGGTCACTGCCCACCTTCATTCTAACCCAGCATCCCTGCTAAAGTGCTGGGATGGGGTGCAGGGGCGGCGCCCAGAGCAAGGAGACACCTGCGGTTCTGAGGTACCGGGATGATGTGAGCACTGGGCACCCCAAATCTAGCCCTTGCCATGTAGGCTGAGGAAACAGATCTCAGTGAAATGATTCTCTGCAAAATGGTAAGAGACGGGACAGGGAGATGCCTCAAACTTAAACTCTAGAGTCACGGGGACGGGAAGGGGCAGCCAACACAGGGGTCACCTTAGAGCTGGCCTCTTCTGCATAGACAGTGGACACTTGAGCCCCTTCCCTCTCTAAGCTGCTGGAAAGCAGAGAGAACCTGATCTGCCTTGCCTGTCTCACATTTCTGGAAGAACCAACTAGCAAGAATGACACTCGCTAAGCTCCCCCGTGCTCGTGGCAGTGCCACGCCCTTTAGCATAAGTTTACTGCACCTAACAGCTTTTGGGTTGGGGAGAAGGCATTATTGTCCCCATTTTATCCTTGAGGAAGCCTGGGCTCAGAGGGCTGAAATAATTTGCTCAAAGTTAGATAGTCGTTAAATTGCAGAGCAGGATCTACACCAAAAGACTGATTCTAGAATCTGTGCTTCTCATTCCTCCATGCCGCCTTAGGCGCAAATGTTTTCTGACAAAAAGTTAAAACACCTAAGGCTGGCCCCAGGCGCTGGGACATCAGAGTGCTGAGGGCAGCTATTGCAAGAAGAAAGCAGATGTCAGCTACCGGGCTCCTAGAGGGTGCAAGGGGCCCAGCCCTCTGCTGGGATGTTTTCTCTTTTAATCCTCACAGCCCTATAAGCAGTTCTATTTGCCTGATTTTATACTCGAGGAGGCAGGGAGGTGTCTTGCCTGGTCAGTGGGGAGCCCAGAAGGGAGCCATCTCTCTGGGCCCTCCATGTCATGGCGCGGCACAGCGGCCTGGGTCTGGTGGGGGACTTGGTGGGGTGATTGTTTCATTTGAATTTCTTCTTGCCCAGAGCCAGTTCCTCCTCAATTCCTCCTGACACCCTAGTTCAGCCTCTCCCTCTCTGGCCTCCTTTAAGGGATGAATTTCTTGAGCCCACGATATGCTTAAGGGCCTGAAACAGGCCCTATCTTTCCCCACTTTCTCTGCCATCTGGGCTCTGCCTCTGTAACGCAGTGACCTTGTGGTGGGAGAGCTGGGCTCTGGCTCTGGGTGTCCCGCCCTGGGGAGAGGCTGGCTGCAAGCACGCTACGGGGGGCACTGCCGGTCCCGGGCGCTGCCGGGTGTGTTAACACAGAGGCCAGGAGTGAGTGTGGGGCCAGGGTGGAGGTGGTGGGAAGCTTCTGAAACCAGTTGTGCTTATTTCACCCTCCACTTTCTCAGCCCTGAAATCTCACTTGTGGAAAGGTGTGGAGTTCATAGAGACAAAAACAATGAGCCAAACCAAAACCTGCACACCCACCAACCCATTTTTCTTTTTTCTTTCTTTTTTTTTTTTTTTTGAGACAGAGTCTCACCCTGTCACCCAGGTTAGAGTGCCGTGGCATCAGCCTAGCTCACAGCAACCTCAAACTCCTGGGCTTAAGCGATCCTCCTATCTCAGTTTCCTGAGTAGCTGGGACTACAGGTATGAGCCACCATGCCCGGCTAATTTTTTCTATATATTTTTAGTTGGCCAATTAATTTCTTTCTATTTTTAGTAGAGACAGGGTCTCACTCTTGCTCAGGCTGGTTTCGAACTCCTGACCTTGAGTGATCCTCCTGCCTTGGCCTCCCAGAGTGCTAGGATTACAGGCATGAGCCACCGCGCCCGGCCCCCAACCCATTTTCCAATACAGGAATCAGGGACTGTCACCCTGAGGATGCCTCAGCTTCTCCCCAGAATCTGATTTAAGGCCTGAGGCTGGCAAGAGGTGGAAGTGCCTCACTCTGGTTTGCGTCTTCCTAACCTGCCGCTGCCCCCAGCTGTCCCTGCACCTCCCCGGTCTAATCTAATTTCCCGGATCCCCTTGTCACTCAGGACCCCCAGGTGAGCGGGAAGCGGGGCAGTGGGAGGCCTGCAGGGGGTTGGCCCCCTGCCATGGCTAAGCTGGGGAAGGGCCTGTGTGGATTCTCACCATGTCCCCTCCCCACCCTTGACAGCTCCGTCCCCCCTGTCCAATATGGTCGCCACTCACCGCATGTGCTACTGGGCACGTGAAACGTGGCCAGTCAGAATCGAGATGTGCCGTGTTCGTAAAATACACATCAAACACTTAGTATGAAAAAGGAATGTAAAATATTTCAGTAATAATTTTCATATTAGTTACATGTTGAAATAATACTGTTAATACATTGGTTTAAATAAAATATATTCTTTAAATTAATTTTAGTTGCTTCTTTTTACTTTTTTTTTTTAAACATGGCTGTTAAAAAATTTAAAGTTACATCTGTGGCTTGAAATCTATTTCTGCTGGTCTTGCTGACATAACTCATGGGCAGCTTCTTAGGGCTGAAGGGGGTTGTGGAGGCCACCAGTGGCCCTGTGATACAGAAGAGGAAACTGAGGCCCGGGGAAGGGAATGACCTGCCCAAAGGCACACAGGCAGCAGAGTGGGGCCTCGGGTTCAGTCTCCTTACTCCCTGCAACCCGGGGTGTGGTTTGAGCCATAGCTCCCCCATAAAGAATATGAGGGCACCTGCCGCTCCACTGCCCCTAGAACTGCTCTCACTGGGTATGCCAGGGCCTGAGAGCTTTCTTTCCCTGTGTGTACACTCCTGTGGGGGTTTCTAACACCCCGTCAGGCCTGGGGACTCAGCCCAATCCAGCCACAGCCTCAGGTGTCCCTGATATGGCCTGAAGGATGGCACTGTCCTGTCCCCACGCAGTGGGGTGCCTATCTCTGACTCCAATTCATCTCTTTCCATCTCGTCTCATTCCCATCTGAAATGGGAACCATAACGTACCCACTTTCCAGGGTGGTTGGCAGCATTATGTGAGATAATTACGGGGGGTGCTTGGCCTGGATAAGTCTCAACTTGGATTTTCACTATTAGCAGCAGTGCCATTAGTCGCGGCTGCGGAGTGGGGCTTGCTGAGAGTGGGGCAGCCCCCCCACCAGGGCCTGGCATACAATAGGTGCTCAATGCCCACAGACAGCACTGAGCCTGATTCTTACCCACACTCAGCTGAGTTCCCGCCCCGAAGATCAGCTCCGGACTCCGGATTGTCATGCAGAAGTAGATGCCGCTGTCTGCAGGCTTCACACGTGTGAGATTAAGGACGAACCGGGCCGCGTCCCGAAACACAATTAGTTTCTCCTGTTCCACGTCCTTGCCATGGATGGTCCCTTTTGTGGAATCCCAGAGGGCCAGGAACTCGTGGTGACTGTCACTGCTCGGGGCCTGGCGCTGTCTCAGCCAGTAGATGCGCATGTTACTGAGTGGGGTTTTGGCCTCACAGGACAGTGTCACCATTTGGTTGGTCTGCACTTGTATGGGCCCACGGGTCTGCTGGAGGACTGAGCTGCCTCGGAGAGCTAGGAGAAGCCAGGAGCACAGACGTTAGCACCTTTTTCTGGCCATAGTTGTGGTCTCAAAGTCACACTGAGTCAAGTCTCAGAAGAAAAGCCATGGAAGAACCTGCCCAGGCACGGGGTTTAGGGACTGTGTTCAATGAAGGTGGTGGGTCCTGAACTCAGAGTTCACGTACCCACCTCCCAGGAGATCATCTGCAAGGCAGGTGTTCGCTAAGCCCAGCTTTACGAAAGGTACAGGGGAGAGAGCTGCCATTTGTTGATTGAATACTTACATGCCTAGTCCTTTGTAGCATAAATCGTCTCAACCAAGCCTCAAACGGGCTTTGAGACTTTTTGTTTTTTCATTTACTTTTTTTTAAAGACAGGGTCTCTGTTGCCCTGGAGTACAATGGCCTGATCATAGCTCAAGTGATCCTCCCAGCTAAACCTCCCAAGTAGTCAGGCCTACAGGCATGTGCCACCAAGCACAACTAACATTTATTTTTATTTATTTATTTATTTATTTTTGAGACAGAGTCTCGCTTTGTTGCCTGGGCTAGAGTGAGTGCCGTGGCATCAGCCTAGCTCACAGCAACCTCAAACTCCTGGGCTCAAGCAATCCTTCTGCCTCAGCCTCCCGAGTAGCTGGGACTACAGGCATGTGCCACCATGCCCAATTTTGTATATATATTTTTAGTTGGTCAATTAATTTCTTTCTATTTTTAGTAGAGATAGGGGGTCTCGCTCAGGCTGGTTTTGAACTCCTGCCCTTGAGTGATCCTTCTGCCTTGGCCTCCCAGAGTGCTAGGATTATAGGTGTGAGCCACCATGCCCGGCCCACAACTAACATTAAAAAAAATTTTTTTTGTAGACACAGGGTCTCCCTATGTTGCCCAGGCTGGAGTGCAGTGACTATTCTCAGGTGTAATCATAAAACACTACAGCCTCGACCTCCTGGGCTCAAGCAATCCTCCCACCTCAATCTCCCAAGTTGGTGGGACTACAGGTGCATGCTACCACACCATCTGGCTTTGAAATTTTTATCCCCATTACACAGATGAGGAAAGTGAGGCATGAAGTTACTTGCTCAAAGTCTCACTTACAGGAAACAGGTAGCCTGGGATTTAAACTCAAGGATTCAACGTCTGAAGCAAAAGCTGATTGCCTTTCACCTTGCCCAGCTGTTGCTCGATATATAGATTTTCAGTAGGCTCCAAACTGCCGTAGCAGCCCAGAGCAAGCTGCAAAGGAGCTCAGAATCACAGGCACAGCACATGGCTGCTCCGGTTAGCCTAAAAGAGGACCAGCCACCATTTCTGGACAGCAATGACAAAAGCAAAAGGAGCTTGTCACCTGAGAGGCACCAGTACAGCCCATCGCTCCCCAACTCAGCAACTGATCAGCCACTGGACCCCCATTCCCCAGTAGAAGGATAGTCACCCCAGAATCAGAGCCGGGAGTTCATTTTAGTCTCAGAGGAGAAGCACCTGGCAGGCAGGCGCTTGTTCATGAAGAACTAGAGCAGGACCCACAGACCTGGACTTGAACCCAGCCTCTGCCCGTACCAGCTGCGGGACCTCAGGCTAGTCACCGAGCCTCAGTCTCCTCTTGTTAAAGGAGGGCAGCTTGCTGCTGGCTTCCTGCCTGCCTCTGAGGTTAGAAAGAAATGTGTAAGACAGGCCGGGCGCAGTGGCTCATGACTGTAATCCTAGCACTCTGCGAGGTCGAGGCAGGTGGATTACTCAAGGTCAGGAGTTTGAAACCAGCCTGAACAAGAGTGAGACCCTGTCTCTACTAAGACTAGAAAGAACTTAATTGGCCAACTAAAAATATATAGAAAAAATTAGCCAGACATGGAGTAGCTTATAGTCCCAGCTACTCGGGAGGCTGAGGCAGGAGGATAGCTTGAGCCCAGGAGTTTTAGATTGCTGTGAGCTAGGCTGACACCACGGCACTCTAGCCTGGGCAACAGAGTGAGAGTTTGTCTCAAAAAAAAAAAAACAAAAACAAAAACAGATGTCCAAGACAGCACACTGCGAGCTATAGAGCACTGCACACAGGTAACTACTGTGTCGCATCTCAGGGGTTGTTACTGGCAGTAAATTAAACCTCAAGAAGGATCAGAAATGGGTGCATTCACAGCCAAGGCTGCACAGGCTCCAACAATCCCCGTCTGGCCTGCTGAGCCTTTCGTTTCGGCTGTGGAGCAGAGGGAGGCCTTGCAGGGCAGGGCAGAGACCCGGGAATGCCAAGACACAGAGAGGACAGGGCCCTGGGTGGGCAGAGGAGCCAGATGGGGTGCGCCTGTGCCCAAGAGGGGCTGGCTTGCTGAGCGGCCCATGTTCACGGTCCTGCCTGTACTTGTGGCTCAGGCTCCACAGTGGCCTCCTCCACCACCGATGAAGCGGACTTCACCTTCTTGACTCCCCTCCCAGACCACGCTGAGCTTCCACCTGCATGGAGAATGAATCGGTACCTGGGGCCCAAGTAGCTGCTGGGCCTTCTCTTTTCTCTCCAAACTCCCTACTGCCTTTCCAGGGAACAGAGGTTTTATTGTTTTGGTTCACTGACCTCCTGGGGGTGTTAATAAGAATCAACAATGTCAGTATCTGCTGAGCTGTGCCGGGCATAGCACATATGTTTTCTCATTTACTCCTCACCAAATCCAGTGGGGAGATACTGTTTTACACCCATTTCACACTTAGGAAACAGAGGCTCGGGCAGTTTAGAGACATGTTCAATGTCACACAGCCTGTATATGGTAGATCCAGATTCAAACCTAGCTCGTGACCCTCTCCCGATGGCAGTTATGTGCTCGTGAGCACACAGGCAGGCTGCAGATACACAGATGCCCGAGGCTCTTCCAAGAAAGCCCAGAAGTGATTCCTGCAAGGGTGAGGCCTGGGCTGCGAGTGTACCTTTCCCACTCCCGGCTCAGGCACACCCTGCCCTCTCCCTTGTGCCCACCTGCTTTCGGCCTCTGGGGACTGAACATCCGACTATGGCCAAGCCGGACACAGGGCCAGGCCTCACTACACTCGTGGTCTCATATGATCCTCCCAGTGGCCCAGCGATTCCATTCTTACAGGGACCTGATGTTTCCAGAATGATTGGCCATAACTTTAGTAGCAGTGAATAGCCTGGACCCGTTTCTACTTCTGATGTGGTTAAGCTCACTGGGTCAGAGCTGGGGGGCTGGTGGGCCTCTTCACCCCCAGATAGGCTAACCAGCATGGGTTTTTTTGGGCATGAGAGCTAATCGATCACAGGTTAATGGGCAGTTTGGGGTGCGCGGTTTCTTCTATATGCCAGTCTGGCTGGGCTTAGCCAGAGGAACAATCTAGACCTCCACCTGCCTTCCAGCTCCAACATTCCAACCTCCATGCTGCTTCTTGCAGGAGCCACTCTACACACGACACCCAGCACGGGGAACCAGAGGGAGCGCTCCGCCACGGCTCTGAGAACTGGCAACAGCCCGGTGTTAGGCAGATTATACTACGAACACTGCCCCGGAAGTAAAGAAAAGGTCCTGTCTACAGGACCCTCGGCCAGGGCCAAGTGTGGAGTGCCAAGGGCAGATGTGGGTCCTAGCAGCACCTTCCTGGGGCCACATCCTTGTGGGGCCCCTGGACAAGGACACGTTTCCTTCCTCCCTGGACCTCCTGCCTCCCCCCTTTCACTGCCTCCCCTTCTCCTAGGCCCAGGCTCCTCAGGGGGAGGTGGCCTCAGTGCTGGGGTCTGCGGACCCCTGGGGTAATGGGCTCCCGTGAGGATGTTCCTTTCCACCCTCAGGGACCATGCGTGCCAAGCCGCCCCCCGGGTGCCTTGAGCTCCGGGCTCTGGGCTCTGTATCCTGCCGGGACAGCCCCTGCTGACCTCCGCGCTCACCCGGTCTAGCGCAGGCCCGGTCCCGCCCCGCGCCCGCGAGGAGCCCCCGCCTCACCTGCCAGCTGCGCGGCCAGCCGGAGCCAGAGCTGCGGCTGCATCTCGGCGCCACCGCTCCCGGACACCTGGGCCCGGCGGGGCTGGCGGAGACAGCCGGGGCGGGGTGGGCGGGGCGCTCCGGGGTGGGGCCGTGAAGAGGGCGGCACCCGCGCTTTCAGGGTGGTGGCGCGGGGTGGGTGTCTGGCGCTGGGATGGCAAGGTCTCTCTCTGCCTTCAGCCTCTCAGCATTGCAAAGGTCTGGGGCGGCGGTTCCAGGGAACCCGCTAGGATCCTCTGCTTTCTGGAAAGAAAACACCGCTGACTTGATCCCAGCAGGTGCACGTGTGTGAGCGCCTCTTGCTCCGGAGGTGCTCAGGACAGGGTGGTGACCCCACGTGGTAGTTGAGGCAACTGAGGCTCAGAGCGGTCAGAATGCAGAGTGCATGGTGGTGCTGGACCCTAACTCGGGTCACTTCTTGTCTGTTTGAGTAGTTATTGAGGGCCTCCGAGTGCCCAGGGCTGAGCAGGGCCTGGGTCTCTTGCGAGGGAGGAAGGGAAATTAACTGATGGACACACAGCTTGATGAGGAAGGCAGGAGAGCTGGAGGCTGGGGCGGTGAGAGGGCCCCCATTCCTGATTGGGGGTGCGGGATAAAGCCTGGCCCTAGACCTTTGGAGTCCCAAAGGACTGAGAAGATTACCACCTGCTCTGCAGGCACCTTACCTCTCGCTCTGTCATGTGATCCAGCCCCAGAGAAGAGAGACTTGTTCCCTAGACCTGGCTTGGGTTGTGTCTTCCTATTCAAATGGGGGTTAGCAGAGGATGGGGTTGGAGAGTAAGTGGGGGGGGCAGTTCAGGGAGAACTGGGTGTGTGAAAGCCTGAAGGGGAGAGGGAGCCTGGGCAGAGAGGTGGGGAGAGGCCCCACGGAAGGTCCTAAGTGTCACCAGGGCCCCAGCCAGACAGGGCTGTGGGCCATCCTAAGAGCTTGGAGTTTATCAAAGAGGGGATGGCATGTCCCTGGAGCTTTAAAGCTGGCAGTGGGGCAGGGACACTGTGACTGTCATTGTGCACATTCAGTATTGTTCCCATCCCACACCTGCCCCAGCTCCTCTGTCCATTGCTGCTGACAAGCATCGCTGAGCTGGTGCAGAAAGCACAAAGGTGCTGGTGGGGAAAAAGGGGTAGGTGCATATCTTGGGTATGGGCTGCTCCTCAGCCCAGCCAGATGCCAGAGTCCCCCTCAATACTGTCCTTGTTCCCAGCAGCAACTGCTGAGCCCAGGATGCATGCAAGCCTGGGGAGACCACATGCTAGTGTGACCTTTTTAAAAAAATCGAGGTGATTCTGCTTGGAATGGATGCTCAAAAAAAAAAAAAAAAAATGAAAGAAAGACAAAATAAGAAAAAATTGAGGTGAAATTCAGATAACACAAAATTAACCATTTAAAAGTGTACAATCCAGGCCGGGCGTGGTGGCTCACGCCTGTAATCCTAGCACTCTGGGAGGCCGAGGTGGGTGGATTGCTTGAGGTCAGGAGTTCAAAACCAGCCTGAGCAAGAGTGAGACCCTGTCTCTACTATAAATAGACAGAAATTAATTGGCCAACTAATATATATAGAAAAAATTAGCTGGGCATGGTGGCGCATGCCTGTAGTCCCAGTTACTTGGGAAGCTGAAGCAGTAGGATTGCTTGAGCCCAGGAGATTGAGGTTGCTGTGAGCTAGGCTGATGCCACAGCACTCACTCTAGCCTGGGCAACAAAGTGAGACCCAGTCTCAAAAATAAATAAATAAATAAATAAAAATAATAAAAGTGTACAATCCAGGCCAGGCCGGGCGCAGTAGCTCATGCCTGTAATCCTAGCATTCTGGGAGGCCGAGATGGGCAGATTGTTTGAGCTCAGGAGTTTGAGACCATCCTGAGCAAGAGCAAGACCCCATCTCAATTATAAATAGAAATAAATTAGCCAAACAACTAAAAGTAGAAAAAATTAACTGGGTGTGGTGGCGCATGCCTGTAGTCCCAGCCACTTGGGAGGCTGAGGCAGGAGGATTGCTTAAGCCCAGGAGTTTGAGGTTGCTGTGAGCTAGGATGATGCCATGGCACTCTAGCCTGAGCAACAGAGTAAGACTCTGTCTCAAAAATAAAATAAAATAAAATAAAATAAAAAATAAAAGTGTACAATCCAGTAGAATTTAGTACATTCACAATGTTGTGTAACCACCACTTCTAGCTATTAGGTCATTAAATATGAAATGTCCAATGTCTAATCAAAAGTTCAGTTGATTGTATCTCATACAAGAAGCAGTACAATTAATCAAACTGTGCACCTAAACTGTTGACACAGTTTTGTCATCTTGACAGTAGCCTGTTTATGCCAGCAGCAAAGACGCCTTGAGAGTGAGTGACGATGAAATCGTGAAAGATGTTTTCCACAGTTTGTTGAGAATTGAATATTTTTCCTTGTAAGAAGAGGTCCAAATCCTGGAAAAAATGATAGTTGCTGCAAGGTCTGGTGAATACAGGGGATGACAGAGAGTTTCTAAGTCCAGCCTCTGTGGTTTGAGCAGTGTTGTTTGTGTTACATGTGGTCGAACGTTGTCTTGCAAGAGGATTTGCCTGTCTCTATTGACCAATTTCTGCTGCTTAATCGCAAGCATCCTCATCATTTCGTCCAGTTGGTTGCTTTGGATGTCCACTGTAATTGACTGGCCAGGTTTCGTGAAGCTGTAGTGGATAATACCAGCACTGGACCAACAAATAGACACCACTATCATTTTTTGATGAATATTTGGTTTTGGACTGTGTTTCAGCTCTTCATCTTTATTCAACCATTGTGCCAAAGGCTTGCAATTGTCAAAAAGAATCCATTTTTCATCATATGTAACAATGCATCGTAGAAATCATTCACTTTTATGTTGTGACAGCAAAGAAAGGCAAGCTTCGAGACAATTTCTCTTGGACACTCTTTAATTCACACTGTGCCCATCTATCCAGCTTCTTTACTTTGCCAATTTGTTTCAAATGGTCCAATACTGTTGGAATAGTAATGTTAGATCTTGCTGCTAATTCATGCATAGGTTGAGATGGATTCACTTCCACTACAGCTTTCAGCTCATTGTTATCCACCTTGGTCTCAGGTCACCCATATGGCTCATTTTCAAGATTAAAATCACCAGAATGGAATTTCTCAAACCATGGACATACTATGTGTTCATTAGCCACATCCTTCCCAAACACTTTTTTTCATATTTTGAGCTGTCTGTGCAGCATTGGTTCCACGCTGGAACTCATATTTGAAAATAACACAAATTTTTGAATTATCTGTGGTTTCACAAAAATTGCTCTTAAAAAATTTGAAAGATAATCACAAGCCAAAATGTGCACTTGAAAGACTGAGGATGTGCCTTCACAATAAAAATAGCAAGAAGTGATCAAAGTGATATGCCAGAGATATCAACTGTCAAACTCAAGCACTTAAGGAAATCAGACATTTCATACTTAATAACCTAATAGTTCTAAAACATATTCATCTCCCCAAAATAAATCACGTTAAGCAGTCATTCCCTCTTGCCCCCTCTCCCCTGATCCTGGCAACTACTAATCTTCATTTTGTCTCTATGGATTTACCTATTGTGGCTATTTCAAAATAATAAGTGGCCTTTAGTGACTGGCTTCTTTCAGTAACCATAGTATTTTCAAGATTCATCCATGTTGTATCCTGTATCAGGTCTTCATTCCTTTTTACTGCTGTGTAATATTTTGTTGTGTATACCTATATATACAACATTTTGCTTATTCATTCATCTACTGATAAACATTTGAGTTGACTATTATGGCTACCTTTTTACTTTTGTGAATAGTACTGCTCTAACCATTCTTGTACAAGTATTTATTCAGGTACCTGTTTTCATTTCTTTCAGGTTACAATTAAGAATGTAATTACTGGGTTATGTGGTAATTCTATGTTTAACTTTTTGAGGAACTGCCTAACTGTTCCATAGCAGATATACCATTTTGCATTCCCCACCAACAATGTACAGGGTTCCAATTTCACCAAACCATTGCCAACACTTGTTATTTTCTGTTTTTGTTTTATCTATCCTACTATGTGTCAAGTAGTATCTCATTGTGGTTTTGATTTGCATTTCCTTAATGACTACTAATGTTAAGCATCTTCTCATGCGCTTGTTGGCTCTTTGTATTTCTTCTTTGTATGTTTATTCACAATATTTGTTGTTTAGAAAACACATCCTTTCTACCCAATCTCTCTTGGGTGCTACAGCACTGTAAAGGGAGCAACTTTCTCACTGAATGATTAAAAGTTACATACTGCTTTGTCAGGGTATTGTTTAAAATCACAGACCCTGTATGCGTTACTTAAGGAACTCCTGCATGCATTACTTAAGGAAATTCTTGCTTTTGTGATAAATTAACCTCTAAATATTTGTGGTTTAACTCAATACAAATCCACTGCATTGTTCTGTGACATTCAAATGCAGTTGTGCAAGAGTAGTAGCTCCACTCAGTTCTGCAGGGCCCCAGGCTCATTCTGTCTTGTGGTTGCCCCATCTTCACCTCATGGCTCTAGGGACCACTGTACAAAGGGAAGAGAGAATGGATGACTACACAGGAATGGGGGGACAGGGTGCTGGGGACCAGGCCTACAAGTGTCACTATCACTCTATTTTCCACTCCCAGGACTCAGTCACATGGACTCAACCAAACTCTAAAGGAGCTGGAAAGTGGAGTTCAGCTGGGTGCCCAAGAGGAAAAACCTCAGTTCCTACACCGATAAATAAGGATAATACTACCAGCCATGCTATCCCACTGGGTAGTCTTCAGGGCCAAGTGAAATCCTGGATCTGCTTTAAAAAGTCTTGTTGACTGAACTGGGAACCAAACTCTGTTGTGACCATCAACACAAAGCACGTTTTCCTCTTAGGTGTTATTTGCTCTGAACAGAGTGGTTTTTAGTCCAGCAACCACCTGTGCCTCTGTTTTTCCAAACTCCTGTTTTTTACTACAGATCAACTCATGCTCTGAATTCTCTTCAGTCAATATTTGTTTAGAACAAGTTGGCAAGAGTGC